GCAGGCAGGCAGGAAGGAATGGCAATAGCAATAGCACTTAAGACTTATATACTGCTTTACAGTCCCCTCTAAGCGGTTTACAGAGTCATCCTGTTGTCCCCCAACAATCTGGGTTCTCATTTTATTCACCTCGGAAAGATGGAAGGCGGAGTCAACCTTGAGCCTGGTGAGATTCGAACTGCCAAGTTCAAAACTCCCTCTCTCTCAATCCAACACAACGCACAGCACAACCCACAACGCATAGGAAGAAGAAGGATTCTTGTGTATCTTTGCTGCATTGAGTAATGTGTAAAGTAATAAAGATGGGGTAAAAAAATCTAATCAACAAACAAATACATTGGCTGAGGTCAAGTGAGAAGACTTTGATTGAAGTGCTCCTTCAGCCAAGAATTCTGGATCCGTTCCTCTGAAGGCAAGTTCCAAGTGGTCCATTGAAGAAGGTGCCTGGACCAGGACTGGGGAATCCCAGGTTCCGATCCTCTTTTGGGCATGGGAGCTCTCTGGATCATCACTGTCAACCTCAGAACCAATGTGTAGTAGGGTTGAAGGTGCTAGAACCAGGTCCTGGTCCCCCCGCTCAGCCACAGAAGCTCCAGGAGGACTTAGGGCCAGCACCTCTCTCTCAGCCCGAGAGGCAGAATGGTTCAGTGGAAACATCTAGTCCTCTGATGAACAGCAGGAATAACCTTGAGGTACAGAAGGAAGAGAGGGTTGAAATCTGAATCCAATGATTAGATTCAGGGTCTCAGATGGGACTCTCGCCAGTTCTCATTGGTGGGAGTGGGTTGGTGGGCGGGGAGCATATTCAGACTTGCAAGATTCTGCTACTCCAACCTTGTAAGCAAAGCAGTATTTGCATTCATGACTCTGGTCTCCTTGTCTGGTCTTGGACCCCTCCCTTGGGCTTAGCCTGGTCGTCTCCTACAGCTCAGCTTGTCGGCTGGGAAGCTGACAGTCTGGGTTCAAAACCCAGCACTGCATGATGGGGTGAGCTCCTGTTACTTGCCCCAGCTCCTTCCAACCTAGCAGTTCAAAAGCATGCAAATGCTAGTAGGTCAATAGATACCACTTTGGTGGGATGGTAACAGTGCACCTTTGATCTATAGGCATGCTGGCCACATGGCCATGGAAGCATCTTCAGACAACGCTGGCTCCCTCAGCTCAGAAATGGAGATAAGCAACGCCCCCTAGGGTCAGATATGACTGGACAGGGATACCTTTATATGCTTATTAACTCGATACCTGTGCTTCACCACGAAACTATGTGGTCGGGCTTAGTTTTTGGGGAGGAGAAAATAAGGGGGAAAAAAAATCTGCTTCTGCCTACCAGCATCTATCGATATTCATCTGGCTAGCGTCCTGTCAGTGTGTGAGAGAGTTGAGGGCTGTTTGGAAACTGAGACAGTATTTGCTGTGTGAGCAAGAAGGAGACAGCAAGGAGCCTGGGCGTGGCTTAGTTCAACTGTTCTGTACTAAGGCTGCTTGCTGCTGTGAAACTGAAACTGAACCTCCTCTCCTCTGCTTGTGTTTTGCATTTGGAACAGATTTCTTTTCAGGTGGGAAGGGGGAATCAAACTCTTTAGAAATATTAATGCTCTGATGGTCATTTCGAAAAATCCTTTCTTAGCGAGCCCCTAGAAGCCAAGAGGAACATAGGTGCCAAATTTCAAGTTTGTAGGCTTTACGGTTCTGGAGATTTTGTGATGATGTGTGTGTGGTCTTTCACTTTTATATATATAGATTCAGCTTGGCCTGCTTAATGAAGGTAACTTAAAATGTCCAACCTGCTTTGCTCCTTACCAGGGCATTCTGGGCTGCAACAAAGAGTTTGTAGGCTTTACGATTCAGGAGGTTTTGTGATGATGCATGAGTGGTATTTTGCTTTTAGATAGATAGGTAGGTAGGTAGGTAGGTAGGTAGGTAGGTAGGTAGGTAGATAGATAGATAGATAGGTAGGTGGTAGATAGATAGATAGATAGATAGATAGATAGATGATAGGTAGGTAGGTAGATAGATAGATAGATAGATGATAGATAGATAGATAGATAGATAGATAGATAGATAGATAGATGATAGATAGGTAGGTAGGTAGGTAGGTAGATAGATAGATAGATAGATGATAGATAGATAGATAGATAGATAGATAGATGATAGATAGATAGATGATAGATAGATGATAGGTAGGTAGGTAGATAGATAGATAGATAGATG